TATATAATAAAAATGAATTAAAATTATGTGTACACATAATTTTAATTTATTCAATTTTTATTATGTCTAGACATAATTTTAATTCGTCAATTTTTATTATGTCTAGACATAATTTTAATTCATTATTAAGAATCGCAATTTTTCTGAAGACAATTATTTTTTGAAACTTTTATATTGAGTATAATTTTATTTATGCTATTAAAAAGTAAAACGGCATGCCATAGACATATATAGTATAGACTGCGCTCAGATATAGAAAAATATAGCCGGTGACTCACACCAGTGGAAGAAAAGAGATAGCGACTGGTAGAGGCCAAGCTGCCTCTTTCTATCCAGTAACATATATACAAAGAGGGAACGAGGTAAAGATCAACTTGCCGGATACTTTCCCTAAGAGCAAAAAGTCGACTTGAAGTCGATTTCTACCGAAACTGACTTGGCAGAGAAGTCGACTTTTTTAAGGACGAAAGTTGACTTCCCGTCATGACGAAAAGTCGACTTCCCGCCAACTTTTAACGTCGATAAAATAAACCCCCTAAGAGCAAAAAGTCGACTTGAAGTCGACTTTTACCGAAATTGACTGGCAGAGAAGTCGACTTTTTTAAGGACGAAAGTCGACTTCAAGTCGACTTGAAGTCGGCGAATGTCGCAAAAACCACCGATTTAAAGTCGACTTTCCGTCACGATGAAAAGTCGACTTTCCGTCATGATAAAAAGTCGTCTTTCCGCCAACTTTTAAAGTTGATAAAATAAACCGCTGCGTACGTCTGGAGGTCGGTTGTGTATCTTGAAACGAGGTGAAAATGACAAAAGTTAAAATATTTTACTAGATTTTGATAAATAAAATCGTAGATACGCTAATGAATTTTCTCACTTTTGTAATTTTTACCTCATTATTTCAAGATACACAATCGACCCCTTGCTGGAGGGCTAAAACTGATGCATTTCGATTTTTTTTTCATATATAAAATAATTTAATTATCTAAAAAACTGTATAATTACAATCCTAATGTTTTGTTCTTAATTACAAAGGCGGCCATATCTGTGCCACTTCTGCGTGCGCGGATTCCGGCACCTACTTCTGGTAAGCTGACAACAGAACTAAAATTAAAACATTCCAGCGTTAATCGCGAAACAATATGCAAAAATTAGCTATATAAATATATGTAATATATATATATATATATATATATATATATATATATATATCATATTATCATCATAATGTTGTAAATATATAATTATATATATATATATATATATATATATATATATATATAATATCCGCAGACTTTTATACTAGACCACTAACATCAATGGACGCACTGCCGAAAAGCTGATGCGAATGCGAGGTGCAAGTGTTAGTGAAGGGTGCGGCCATATTGAATTAACAATAAGTCACTATCGGGTGTTCAATTGCTCATGATGTGCGTTTATCTGCATTCGTTATTACAGTATATAACGAAGCAGGCGAATGTTTTTGTGTTAAATATTGGTACATGTTATCAATAAGTTTGTAAGTCATGCCTTCGACGTGTAGCGTACTTGGATGCCGAAATCGAACCACTACTCCTGTAGTATTAAACCCTTTCTTTGGACATTCTGTATATGCCAGACTATTGTATAGAAATTTTGTATAAAACCACTTGTATAGAATCTGTAGTATAGCATATCTTGACTAAAATCAACATGGCGGCAAGCATCACGGCCGAGATGTCTGTCAGCGGTCTAGTATTGTATAGAAGTCTATGATAATATCTAAATATTATTTTATAAATTAAAATCTCATATTTTTTATCCGAACCCCAGATTTCTAGCAGTTTGTATTTGAACACGACTCCCTGCGACTGCAGCGTTTGTACTATTACTTGAGTGCGTGGTATCAATCTGAAAAAATCGTACTGAATTGATGTAATCCATTCGATGAATCAACGTGAAATTAAAAGGAGATAGAATAACGATTTACTTGGCCCATAACTTGGTGATGCTCCTAGGTGTCGTCAGCAGCGACGGGACAACACAGAACATATACTAAGAGAAGCGCAAGCTCATAGCTCTACGGTGGAAACATGAAACGACGCGCGACCGCCACGACCCCTATCCGGCTGGCCCTGGTACTACGTTCTATATCTGTGGCCGTATTCCGAATACGGCTTATATAGGCCGTGTTTCGATATACACTGCCAGTACTAAAAATTTATAATTTACGTTATACGTAAAGTATAGATTTTCAATACTGGCAGTGTATATCGGAACACGGCCTATATAAGCTGTAAATAATATAGAATAATATATGTTAATAAATATGTTATTTTCGTCAATAAATGAGGGAATGCGCAATAAAGAACAAATTAATTGTATATAAAATAAAATACATTTTTATTTCATTTCTAACATGAAATACATTTTTATTTCAAAGTGTGTAACATCAAATACATTTTAATTTCAAAGTTGAACATGAAATACATTTTTATTTCAAAGTGTGTAACATCAAATACATTTTAATTTCGAAATAAAGTCTATAATAATAGAATACAAAACAGAATATGCGATTCTATAATAAGTGGAAAAAAGCAAAAACCGTAAAATTAAAGAGTTTGAAAGCCAAATACATCAAAGAGAAACTAAAAATGCAAATAAACAGAAAATGCAACTAAATCACAATGATTTAAA